TACTCCTTCGCACATACTATTTATACTGATGGTTCCCTACACCAGTCCACTGGTGCCGCCGGAAGTGCAGTTGGTGTGAGAGCGAGCGACGCCGCCTACTGAGAGCAGGGCGCTCGTATAAATAACTGAGCTTCCACTCCACACACAGAAGTGTTTACCATACACCTTGCACTCAAACCACTATATGTATCCAAAGTTGACACGCTAATTGTAAGTGACTGTCATCCTTGATTGACCTTAACTCCTTGAGACATAACTAATGTGCTTGTGTCTGAAGCAAGGCCCAGATAACATACAAGCATGAAGCAGATCTGAGTAAATGTAAACTCTGTCAGCTCACATAAGTTTAGAGACACTGGTAGTAGACATTTAGGAGACGGTTGGAGTCCTGTCTGTTCATGGTGTGATGACTCCTAATGATCCATCACTTTCTCAGTATAAGTCTCATTATTGATGGCAAGAATTTCCCAATACACAAGTGTTGCCTCTTGTGGGCGAGAGATAAATGGGTTATTTTATTCAGAAGAATACTATCATTAATTTTAGTAAGTTACCCACGAACCCACGAGGAACGGCCTAGTTCAAGTAATACAATTTATTATAACAAACCCAACCTGGCACGGTGGCTTGGCCAGGCCCCAGGGAAGAACCTCCCTAATTACAATTGTGTAACTATCTTCAAAAGATTGTTACTTGCTTAGTTAAATGAACTATGAGGTTCAGTTTCTAAACCCATTATGTGCCTATTTAACCCTTTCCACCCCCCCCCGCCCACGGTATGTGGTGCATAATAAAGAAATTGAATTGGTAGAATAACTCCACACCAGATCCACAGGAATGGAACACGTTCAATAATTAACAATATATTTAACAAAACCCTCGAAACATAACCATTGGTGTTGCCTCTTGACATTTCCGTTCATATCCAACACTTGCTCTGGACAGAAGTAAAGATTTACGACCCCAATATTCTAGGAAAACCTCAAATTTGATGCAAGAAATGGTAAACACTTTGGAAAACCACAATAAAGTACATCATGTCCACTTCCGAGTTACTACCACCAAATATAACATTCTGGAGCAAGCTGGAAGTTGCAATAACACGTAACGTCAATAGTTACCTGGATGGCTAGTAACAAAACTCAACAGGACTTATCTTAAGAAAGAATTATGCAGGACAAATTAGAGCGGTCCACCTCTCCCTGTCAGGACAAATGGAATTCACTCCCTCCTTCCAGGCAGCGTTCAAGTAAAAATGCTGTACAGTAAACTGTCTTTGTTCACAATTCTATTTCGACCACCACACTTGACAAAACAATTACAAATTATTTAAACTACTGGCTGTTTAATATTTAGTCAATGTACTAAGTTAAAGTACTTAAACACAGCCAGTAGTTTATATGTTAACTAATTCATCCTACATCCGGCAGTTCCGCAGGATAACGGCCAACTCGACCTGATAAAAGACCTTTTGAGCCTTTTGTAATCCTTTTTGCGCTACCGCTCACAGGGTGAGTATGGGGTGCATAATAAACTAGCAACAAAGAAACAAAACAAAATCAACCGTCAAAACACTTTATTTTTATGTAAACTCGTTGTTTAGGGAGGTAGAAATAGCCTAAGCTACTCTATCCCTTTGAGATGTATTTCTTTATTGTTTCAAATAAATGTACTTGTACTTGAACTTGAACTTGAACTCGAACTCGTTTATTCTCAACCGACCAACCCTGGTGATAACTAGTTACCATTTAGCCACAACTCAATTGTTTGGTTGGCCAGAAATACTCTTTTAACTTTTATGTTGTCTGCTCTAACTGCATGTATGGATAAATTAATTTATTATATAATAGCATATTGAGCATGTTTATGTGCTGGTGAGGTTAGGTGTTTAGGTTATGCTGGCAATTATCTGCATTAAAAAGTACGTGAGTGAAGCTTATATGGAGTTGCGATCCGAACACGGGTAGTCAACGAAGCACTGTTCGAAAAATGCTCCATCGTAATCAGTTGAGTTGTATGTAAACAACGGGTTGAGTTGTTTACCTATGTCCAAAACTACACTTAAATCAATCAATTAATTGCAATTTGTAAAAGGAAGTAGTTTTATATCACGTAGTTTGCCTGATAAATTTACTAAAACTAAGAGTCAGTTTTGTAAATAAAAAAAGAACACAAAAGCATGTATCGTTATGGAGTGAAAGTTAAGACTAATGTTTATGTAATAATGGCACTGTGAGAGTAATTAGCATTGTTTGACTCCCATAGCAATAACGTGTGTGAGAATACAACCCCGTCCTTGACTCAAGTCCATTACATCCAGCGGTCGACCCCACAAACACATTCATAAATTTTTACATACTATTCATTCAAAACGGGAATGTTCTCAAATATAAATTAATATTATAATATATTAGCATATTGTGCAAATATAGGTTAGGTCCAACAGCCTGGTTGATCAGTCCAGCAACCAGGAGGCCTGGTCGACGACCGGGCCGCGGAGACGCTAAGCCCCGGAAGCACCTCAAGGTAACCTCAAGGTAGGTTAGGTGTTTAGGTTCTGTTCGCGATTATTTGTGTGTGTAGTACGTGGGTGAAGCATTTATAGCGTTGTGATTCGAACAAAATTCGTCAGTGAAGCACTTGTTCCGGAAGTATTCGAACAAAATCAGTTGTGAGTCGTGTGTAAACAGTTTTTAATTCATTAACAGGGGGTTTGGCGGGTGCATGGAATCACTTGGTTCTTTGTTTGGAGGACGGACTGGTATGTGAGAACGATACACACAAGATGGTATTCCTGGTTCAATCTTGGTGCTGTTCTGACACCAGACATATGCTCATCCTACAGGGTTCGCTGGAAAACTTGCTGCATTTGATGCCCGTTGGGTTACGTTTTGAGGTAAAGTACCTTTTATACAACTGCCTAAGTGGTTACGACGCCTGGCGTATATATCATGTAGTAAGGTTCCGAAAGACTACTAGACATTTGTCAGTTTTTCATAGGCTGTAAACCACTTTTATTTACTCTTCCAGCATTAGGTTTGATGTTGTCAACCCCCACCCTGGGAAACTTCATTATTTTTCTCCAGGAACAGGCACACTGACTCAAAATGTTCTGATATTGACCTTATCTAACATAGGATATATGAGAAAATCACGCCATCGTGATATCTTATCTATGATATATGTTGCTCATTGTGCGCTTTGACAGATTGAGCAGCTGCTTGAAAAGTCTAGCACTGCATGAAGCAATGAACTTTAGATTCCTACCCATCTCTTAACTGGTACAATTTACAGTATTATCCTGAAGTCTCTTTAATAAACAAAAGTTTACTCAAGCTATAAATGGATGCCAACAGAGAGAAGGCCCCAACAGAGACTAGTTGCAAAAAAAGGAAGACAGACATGTCTGCAAAACTAGCTTTTCTCTATAATCACTGAAACCAACCAGGAATTGAGCACTCCGTGTAGGATATGTGGAGTGCTCCCTTTCAAATTTTCAGCTGCTGTATTAGATACTCCCATGGAAAGACATATTTAGGAAAAAACATATTAGTTGCCCAACAGGGTCAGTGTACGAGAGCACTTATATCAATCAACATCTAAAAACTCAACCTGGTACCCTGACCAATTGAGGTTCTGTAGGCCAAATTACATTCAAACCCCCCATAACTGTCAAGGTATACTCCAGCAAGGTAGCCAACATCTGTTGGAAAAATTGTTGACCTGGAGAGCATGCAAATATCCTTTACTGCTAAAATCCATTCGATAAAACGTCTAAATTATTAGGACATTAACATTTTAAAATCTGTATTTTTCCAGAGTGCAGGCAAAAAGAGATACATAATAACTTAAAACTTTGAAAATATTAGAGGGGTTGGTTCCAAAACTGCACATGGAAATAAAATTACCAGAGACCAAGAAGCATGGCAGGATGTGCAAAATAGTCCCATTGAAAAGCAGAGGTGCAATAGGTATGCAGAGAGAACTATCAACATCAAAGGGCCAGACTTTTCAACTCTATACAGTCTACACATAAGGGGCACAACTGGCTATCTTCTCTAAGTGTTGGCAAGAACTTTAGAAACCCCCCCAAAAGGAGGCTTGATCAACCAGCCTGCAATTTATACATCAGGCTGCAAACAGCTGCATCTAATAGTCTAACTGAGCAGATTAACAACCTGGAGACCTGATCAGAGATCTGGCCACAGTTATGTTGACTTTCTGAATCACCATAAGTTAGGCAAGATAGACAACCTAAGAAAAAAAGGCTGGCATGGCCTATGTTGAGACTCCTGTGATGGTGTCTAGCATATCAAGGGTAAAACAATTTCAGAACCCTTCTGAAAGGTATTACATAGCCTTCCCGGTTTGGTGCTTTCTTTTGATAATTACTTACTTCTGAAAGGTTGACTCAAGTCTTCCATCCAAAACACTACAACCACCTCAGGTACCTACCTCTGCTGCAGTCGGACTCTCTCTCTCTCTCTCTAGTTATCCCCAAGACTTTACTGCTGGCGACTTATTGGCGAATGCCAAGATAGGTTGACGGGCCTCAAGAGCTAGAGGAACATGTACTTGGGACACAAAGTGACATGCAGTAGAGACTTACAGTACTAGGTTTGGGAACATAACCTGAAACTCAATCAAGTCACCACACTTAAAGTCAAGACAACTTAACAGATGATCCCAGCTTGCTGCTAGCACAGTCGGGAACCAATTGCTACAGTCAATCAAGATCAATACTTTTCACTAGATTCCTATTTAATCATATCTTGCTTGCTTTCTTTCTCTTCATCAGCATACAGTGACAATGTTTCATATATATATATATATATATATATATATATATATATATATATATATTACATAAATAAATAAAAATAAATAAAATTATTCATTTGTCATCTTCAGTAATATTCAAAGAATAATTTTTAGCATTATTTACCACATTCACAATTGTCAATATAAAGTGTGACACTTTTATATAATATACAGCCAAATAGATTGGGGTGTAATTTTATTAAATTTCACAATACAAACCCATAAACATTTTAGTGGAATTAACAATGCTGTATAAAAATACGAGTACCACTCCATAATATAATGGAAAGAATTATAGATTACATCTGTCATTTTTTAATCAAACTCCTTCAAATAAGGGAAGAAGCGAGACCCAGTGTCCCTCCACACCAAAGACATGCTTCCAGTAGACCTCGCCCAAAACTTGGGTTTTGAAAATCTACCTTCATAACATAGCAGAGTTGACACGTTAGAGAGTCGAGATGTTCAAAATGTTGACATACCTACACGACACCTCCACGTGTCAAATCTCTGCAACAGTCTTTGACTCAGAGGATTAGAAACTTGCTGCTTTTATGTTAATGACCAAGGGCAGAAAGGCCACACAAATACCAGCCTTGTGTAGGACAAATCCCATGAAATGTCTGCAGTGATGAAATAGTTGTGCACTATGAAACCAGTGTTGAGATTAATATAATTAATAATGTTAAAAAGGAATTACTGAATAAATAAGGTTTCCATTTCAACCCTGGACAATGCAAAAGTTGTGATCTAACTACAAGGTAATCGTGATCAATATATTAGATCTTGCTTTAACGTGTGCTCTGCCCTTGGTCAGTTTGAGCTAAAAAGCAGCTAAGTTAACCTCAGCAACCCGCAGCATTCACGTCCTTACCCGACCTCTTCGTTATATTCAATGTTGTGAAGATCTGAGGAAAAACAAAAAATTATTAATAGCTATTTTCTTGTTCCATTTCCCAATAACACAATGGATACATTTCCTGTCCCTTGACATGCAATAACTCATCCTATATGAATCACAATCAGGAATTTCTTCCTATATTCAAAAATATTTAATATAAAAATAGTACATCTTTAAAATCACTATGATCTTGACAACCAAGCCATTTACTTCACATTCATGTCAAAAAAATAATTCCTTAAACCTGTGAACATGGCAGCAAAGATTCAAAGCAGGACCCCCATTGGTTGCCAATGTGCGATGATCACAAATTCTTTACCTAGTGCAAATACCTCATGAAAATAATTTAAACTACTAAGTTAACTTTTTACAAGTACTGATTAAGTTTGCAGAATTACACACAATTTTTAGTAAGAAAATGTTATACTGTAATGTTATTATATGCCCATTTAATGCAATTTCATACATTATAATATTTTATTCCTATGAATAAATGTGCTAGAGGGAAGGGATAAAGGTAGTCAGGTTTCAGAGAACCCACGAAAGAGTTCATGATTTTCAATACCAGATGTGGTCGAGCAGTATTATATTGTGTAATGGAAACCAATAAAGCTAATTTGAGAAGATGAGTACAGTAAAGAGAGTAGCAAGAACAGGAATACAAGTACTATAATGAGTACCGGGTATATAACAAGTACAGTACAGTGAATCTTTCAGGACATTGTATAAACAGCAAATGCCTGCCTATGAAATTATATGTTCTCTGGTAGCCCTACATCCTAGTTATGAGCAAGCATGACTTAAAAGAAGTGTGGTGTTAGGGTGGATTAGTGCCTCAACAATACTGTATCATCAAATACTGTAATATGTAATTTACAAAACTATACCCTGTACTTTGACTAAGATTACCTCAGCACAGGTTGGATGGATGCCAATTAGGTTGTCGAAGTCCGATTTAGTGGCTTTAAGCTTGATGGCAAGACTGAAGCCTTGTGTAATCTCGCCAGCATTAGGTCCAAGCACATGGAATCCTATAACCCGCTCCTGTGGATATCATTGCCAAAAGGACCATACATTACATATATTTGTTTAAATCTTAGTGCTCTCTATACAAAGAAAAGATGTAGTGAAGCAAGTGAACTCTCATCTGTCACTAATACTTTATGAAAGTGTAAATAATGCTTAATCAGAAAACTAAACTCTCGTGAGGCATTATAGATTGTTTCCCAAAAGCATGGATATAGAATAGTAATTTTGAAAGGCTTTAAAAAACTATGCAGGCATCAATAACGAATTCAAGTGTACCCGTCATTGACACGGGGAGCTATAGATTGAAATCTGTAGCTCCCCATGTCCGAATAGCCCAAATATTCAGTTTAGTGGGCTTCAGAAAATTGAGCTCCTTCAGTGAATGCAAAAAAAGGAACTATGAGGAGAAAGCGCCAGGCCATTATAACTATATAGCACACTTGGAAGGGGTCATGATAATCATTTGGGATGGGAAGGGGGGGGGGGGGGGCGTATTCTTGCAATTATGCAAGAATAATTGATTAAATTTAATCAATATTTTGGTTTATGGATTTGTTATCTACTCGGGTGTAGTGGGGTATATAATCCCAAACCATTGTCTTCTGTATGTACTCCTTCATAATGTGCTGAAACAAGAAAACTTTCAGAATTTTTGTTTCAGTCCAATACACATACTAGTGGATACTTAGAAACCATGTATACATGAAGAATATATACATATAATACACATATACACAGTTGAGAGGCGGGACCAAAGAGCCAAAGCTCAACCCCTGCAAGCACAACCAGCCAACCATACACACGTGTGTATGTGTCTCATTAATACATCCCCAATCATTTTATTTCTTTATGCACTAATTTAAGATAAACAAGTGTTGTACATGCAAACCAAATATGTACATTATTTATTGTTACTTAATTCACAATTTAGCTGCATTA